TCACCCGACCGTCATGGGTCAGCAGGATGGAGTCGCTCTTGATGTCTCGGTGGATGACACCCTGGGCGTGGAGCACAGACAAGGCCTGTAGCACGGCCAGGCACACAGCTGCGATCTGTTCTTCATTCATCCTGTGCATAGTGCGGGTGAGTGATGGGGGTGGGCAGGGCCACCCCAGAGCCCGAGGGGGACACTGTCCTGCCCTAGGACCCTGGGGAGGTTCTTTCTGCCACTGGCAGGGTGTGGCCACTGGCCAGTACCTGGTGTGGGTAACGATGTCAGTGAGGGCACCTCCTTCCAGGAACTCCATCACCACCCAGAGCTCGTCGCCCACCAGGTAACTGTTGTACATCTCCACCACGTTCTCATGCTGGTAATCCCGCATGATAACCACCTGCGTGAGAGGCTTGGTCAGCACCACCCAAGCCCTTGCACCCAGCCACATGGCCTGTTTGTCTTTCTGGCTGCACTGCAAGCCTGGTTCCACCTAGGCCATGCTCTCCCACAGCCAGGCCCACTGAGACCCCAAAGCCAGCGGGAAGTCTCGTGCTCAGAAAGCGTTCTGGGATGGCTCCCCTAACCTCCTTGACATTTTCTGAGGGAGGTGGGAGCACAGGTGTTGAGACATGAAGGACAAGCAGGTAAATGGCCAGGGTCAAAGGGAAGGGGGTGAGGAATGATGACAGCAGGATGAATTTTGGCACAAGAATTATCAGGGCAAGGCCTGGGAGAGAAGGGAAACATTACTAGAGAAGCAGCTCATGCAGTCAGAGCATTATCAGCACTGAATGTGGACTGGGGGGCAGGAGGAGGGGCTGAGGGCCAGGGTGGTCGGAAGGAAAGCTTCGGGGTCTGCCACTCTCCTGAGGCTCTAGCCAGAGTCCCTGGGCCCCTTACACCTCAGAGAGTCCAGGACTGTACTGAGGGCCCCGCGGGATCGGGGGCAGGAGAGAGCTCTGCTGGGGGGAAGAGGATGTGATGTGGCCAGGTCCATAGTTTAGAAATATCCCTCTGGCTACTGTGGAGGGAGACTCCTAGGGACACTGGGGCAGGGGATAGCCAAGATCTGGCCTGGCCACAGCAGTGGGAAAATGTCCCTGAGACAGGAACAGAGGAGGGCGGTTCATGGAAGACATTTGGGGTCCATTTGAGATTCAATGCAGGGGCAGAAGGTAGCTCAGAGGAACACTGAGCCTGGGGCTCAAGTAGTGGTCAGGCAGGGGGACAAGGTGTGAGCATAGTCAGAGCAGATGTGAACGCTGAAAGAATTTTAAGTTCAGGAGTCCCCAGACTTGAAGGCATCCTCCCACCCTAACATGAGATGGAAGCAAGGGATGAGAGGAGAAGGGCCTTTCACCCACCTCGTTGAAGAGCAGCTCACGTCTTTGCTGCTTGCGCAGGTCCATCTTCTTAACGGCCACCAGCTTCCCTGAGCTGCGCACAGTGGCGATGCACACAATGCCCGTGGAGCCCTCGCCGATCTTGATGAAGTTGTCCAGGTAGGAGCGGGGATCACCAGGGTCCACCACCAACTGCAAGGCGGCCCTGAACTGCTCATGGGACACCCGCTGGGGCTCCCGCTGTGGTGAGCGAGGGCCAGGGGGACCCAGGGTGGCAGGGATGGTGGGGGCGGTGGGGACAGCAGAGGTGTGGGCCAGAGGGCCCAGCTGGGGCTCGGAGGTATGAGGACCCAGCACACCTGGGTTGGGAGTGCCTCGGGCTTGGGTGAGGGGCCTAGTGGAGGAGGACTGGGGGGTAGCTCGGCCCCCTGTTGATGGCCCATTGGGGGCCCTGCTGTGAGGTTCCCCCTGGAAGAGAACAGAGAGGTGGCCATTAATAGAGGTTGGCCAGGTCAGCACTGGTCCCAAAGAGAGGCCTGGATGTGGAATAGACACATGGTGGTCAGGATGAGAGATGGACAGGGGGTGGGGCGTGGGCTGGGGCTGAGGTGGGAATGGGGTGGGTGCACTAAGGGGAGGTCAGTTACCTGGGGAGCACGGGATGTGTGATCGGTGTCAGCCCATGGGTACGTGTTAAAGGGCCGGCCAGCTGCCACTTTTGCCCCGCTGACATCAGGCCCAGAGAGGGGCCGTTTGTCCCGGGAGGACTCCTGGGGGCCCCCCGGGCTCTCCCTGGAAGACTTGGGCCTCTTCTCTGGCCCCACCCGCCGCCTGTCACTGCTGTCGCCACCTGTCTCTCTGCGGGCAGCAACCTGGCCCTGGGCGCCTGCCTTCTCTGGGCCTCGTTTGGCGACTGTGGCCTGCTCCTCAGGCACCCCGTTTTCCTGGTGAGCTCGGGCAGGGGGTGGTGGGCTGTCTCTCCGCAGGGAGTTGGAGCGTGTCACCGACATGTTCTCAAACTCGTCAAGCAGCAGCGTGAGGGCCCCATCCTTGGCACCTTTGCTGCCCCGCACGATGGTCTGGGGTCCAGGGGCGCAAGCAGGAGGGGGTAGGAGGTGAGGAACACAGGAGGTGCATCCGACACACAGTGACAGGACAACACAACACACACAGAGACAAGACAGAGATGTAATGAAGAAATGCCATGGAGTGACAATGGGGGGTGGTGGTAGGAGCAGGACCATGAGGCCTTGGCAGGCTCTCCCCCACTGAACAGAGAGAGTACACCTAGGGGGGAGTCGTAACCTCCTGGTCAGGCCTGGTCTATGAGACTCCCGCTCAACCTTTCTGGGCTTCTCAGGCTGATGGCAGGCCCTCCCTGTGGGCTGAAGGAGGGAGGACAGAGGCTAAGCTGGCCCATAATCAGCTCTGGAAAGATGCAAATTATAGGATGCTCGGCTGCAAGCCTGCCAGGGTTGTATCCTGAAAATCCAGCTCCCTCTTCCGGGGAGGGTGGGATGGGGGTTCCGAAAGAGCCAGAAAGGTCCAGAGGCAAAGGAAAGGGGCAGTTAGGCAGTAGGCAAATGCCTACGGGGGCCACACAGAGGGATGCCACCCAATCTAGGCCAGACCACCTCTTCCCTGAGAACTGAGTTACTTACCCAAGGATCCTCCCCCATCTCCCTTCTACTACCAGCTCCCTCAGCTCCAGCCACATGGGCCTCATAACCTCTCTGCCAACACCACAGACACGACATCACCCCAGGGCCTTTGTACTAGCTGTTCCCTTTACCTGAACGACACTTTCCTGCATCCCTGGGGCTCCTTCTCTCCCCTATTCTCAGACCTGTGCTCCATGCTCCCCTCAGCAAAGTCTGCCTCTTACCTGTAGTCTAACAAGCCGAGCCCTTCCTGACCTACTGCTTTTCCTCTGGAGCACACATGCAACTCCTCCCACTGCCAGCCTCTCCCCATTGTAGTGCTGAGGAAGGCCAGGGCCTGTTCATAGTCCTGTCATACCTCTCAGCACTTAGCACAGTATCCGGTAAACAGAAGGTGATCAATAAATACTTGTCAACAAGTGAGAAAGAGAAGAGGCAGGCTGGGAACAGGCTGTGACGAGAAAACATGGAACCTGCTCGTCCATTTATTGTCAAAGCTGTGCGGAGGGACTGGGGAGGAGGCTGACAGAAACATGCAGAAAATGAGGGTCCCACCAAGTCCCTTTCAGCCAAGTCATCCTCTCCTGAGCCCTAGGACCAGTTGGGGAGAGTGACCTTGGAGTGAGAATAAGGGGTCAAGGGGGACAGGAGCCGATGTGACTGAGAGGACTGGGGAGATTCCAGGCCAAGGGCACAAATCTGAGTGCCCGGCAGGTCTTGGGTAGTGCTGACTCATGTAGCCCAACGGAGCTGGGTTTTAGGACATATGTGGAACAGGGCCCAGGCTGTACCCCAACACATAAGTGCAGTGGGGTCTGGGTGGGGACAGACTTTGACGGGTGGGGGTTGCGGGTCTCTGCAGGCACATCTGTAGTGAACTTATCAAGAAAATCTAAGAAAGATTTGTTTGTGACATCTCTTACATTTTTAAGCAATGGCAAAACTTCAAATTAGTCCCACAAAGCCTGTAGATAAGACCCTGGTGGGAGAGCATCTGAGTCTGTCCTCTTCCTGCCAGGGTGGGCCAGGAACAGGAGAGATGAGTCAGCCTAAGGCCCATCCTGGGGCTCAGGGCCTGCTGAGGGGCACAACCACCTCCATCCACTGAAGGCAAACTTGGCCACGGTCCCTCTTAGTCCTTCCTGGTTCTGGCTGCCCTTGGGGTAAAGTCCGTGCTCCCAGGTTGACTTTATGAGGCCTGGTGTGGCTTGCTGGCACCATGCCCACCTTACCTTAGGTCATGCCTGGGCACCTGGACCACAAATGTCACCTTTTCACATGGAGGCAGGGCAGAACCAAGAGGGGGGTGGGAATGGAAACAGACCTCAGTTCAAACCCCATCTGTCACTTTGTTCAAGGATGACAAGAAAAAATGTAAAACGTCAAAAAAAAAACAAACCCCTAGCCTCAGGGTTCTGCATGAGCCACTTCCTTCACTGACACCTCTGTACACCGCTACTTGATACAATCATTCTTCAACAGCCCTCAGGGCTCCGCTCAGTCCCCCTCCTTCAAGTTCTTCTGGTCCGACTGGACCAGGTCCCTCCAATGGGCCTCCCATCCCAGCCTGGACCACTAGGAGCTGTCAGTGTCGTCAGCTCTCCGCCCCAACCCAAGCTCAGATCGGGGTAGCCCTGTGGACAGGAAAAAATAGCATGGAGCTCAAGCTGTGAGGAGCAGGAGGGGATGGTGAGGCCAGGGAGGGAAAAGTGTGGAGATTTCAGGAGTAGGGGTTCAGTGCTGAGATTCCAATTGAGGGGTGAGCAGGTGGGAAAGGACTAGAATGTGTCACTTGCTATGCAGTCAGAGCTAGTGCAGGAAGCCTGGCAGAGGAAAGGCAGCATAAGGTCAGGTGTAAAAGGTCAGAGTTATCCCCCTGGAATCAACAACCTGGTTAGGGGAAGCATGGGAGGTGCCAACATACCTTGGGGGCACCAGGCTGGATGGAGGTGATGCAGGCAGGGTCAATGAGGGGCTTGGGCCGGCGCGCTGACTCCTCAATCAGGCTCTGCCACTGGCGGGGCAGGCCTGTGAACTTCTGCTCATGCTGATCGAATCCCGTGTGCACACGATGCTCAAAGTTGGAAGGCGCTGAGATCTCCACCCGCTTCTTCTTCTTCCCAAACATGGTGCTGGGGTCTTAGGCTCCTAACAGGGGCCTGTGCGAGGGAGACACTCCACTGTCAACACCACTCACCAGGACCTACCATTCCTCCCCTCCACTGTTCTGTCCTATCCATCCTCACTCCCCTCTAGGACCACCATGGCTGCCTCCTCATAGCCCCTCAGGCCTGATTCTGGGAGCGCTGAGGGGCCCTGGCTTCAGTGCTGCCCTCTCTCTGTGCGTAGACCTGTCTGTGGAGCCACCTCATTCAGAAAGAACCAGAGTCCTCCTGCCATTTCTCTGGCTTCATCTCCTTTCACTCTCTCAGCCCCAGAAACATTGGACATCACCCTTCAGGGCCTTTACACTGGCTACTGCCCCCCAGATCTTGACAAGGTCCCCTCCTCTGGCTCCTGAACCCTAACATAAGATGGCCCATTCCCCTCCACCCTTTGTCACATCACTGTCACACCATGTTGGAAATTCTGATTTGTAAGCTGATTCTGACTCATAACAAGCCTATGTGAATACAGCTAGCTGTGTTCCACAGAGTTTCCAATGTTGATTTTTTGGAAGCAGATCACCAGGCCTTTCTTCCAAGGCACCTCTTGGTTAACTCAGACCTTCCACCTCTTAGCAGCTAGGTACACCAAGTGTATCACCCAGGGCCTCCTATATCCTGTTTAGTCTTCGGCATTCTCTGGGCCATTCCCATGTGTACAGCCATCCCTAAAATGTCAACTCCATGAGTCTTATTTCCCCCAGTGCTCCAGCCTGGTATCAGCACAGTGCCAGGCACCCAATGTGTGCTCAGCAAAGGACACTCGCATCGCTGGTCACACCCCTTTTTCTGAGCCCTGTACAAGAAACACACATCTATCTGTGATCACTAATTCACCAAAGTTTCTGAGTAACCCAAGGCACCCTGACTGAAACACTCTACCCCTTTGAGGTTAAGATCACGGAAGCCACATGGCCGAAGACTATGGTTCTCACCTGGGGCCTCGTAACAGTACCAGCACAGAGTAAATGCTGAATAAACGGCAGCTAAGAAAGAAAATGGGCCAAAGGGGAGACATGTGCCGATGGGGTGTCACATGGGAGGCCAAAGAAATGATGGAAAGGGCAACCAAGCATTCTCTACTATTTACTGCATATGTCCATGGCCAAGTGACTTTAACACTCTGGGACTCAGTTTTCCCCCTGTTAAATGGGAATCAACCTTGTTTATAACTCATAGGGCTATTATGAAAGGTAATACAAGTTAACATGAGCAAAGAGAGAGTTTAGCGGGGGGGGCTGAGAAGAGAGGAAATCACAGCATTTGCTGCTGACTACTTTGATCTCTTCTAGCAGGGACTGTGTGGGGAGGGTCTTAAGTCCTCCCACCGAAATGGAGGCTCCACCTCAGATGCCCTACATGTGGGCCTGCGGGTTACTCAAACAACCTGGATTTATTCTCAATCTGCTCAAAGCGCCCTCTTGGGGCTTTGGGTTAGTCATGTGTAAAATGGGAAGGAGACATCTGTTCATTCACTCATTCATTCGCTGAATACGTAATACCTCACTGACTATGGGCCTCCTTGGGCTTCAGCTCTATGCTTAGTGATGCAGAGACACAGTGGTGACCAAGGCAGTCTGTGATCTCACAGAGCCCTCATGTCAGCAGATGAGAAAGACCTGTGTGTATGAGCCTAGCACAGAGAAACACAGGGTATGTGGCCCCCGAGGGGGCACCAGCGGCTGTGTGATCTGCACTATCAAGAAGGTGAGATATAGGCTAGGCAGGGCTTGGCCTTGTCTGTGGCTGGCTCTCCCTGACAGGAGCAGTGCCTGGAACGGTGCTGGCATTGCTGGCGGTGTCAGCACCGAGCTCATTTAGTGGCTCCAGGGAGGCACACTCCTGAGTGTGCGCCAGAGGCCATGGCCTGGCCTCCTTGTCCTTCATCCTGTGTTCCCTGCCCAGCAGCCAGCTCTGCTCCTTGGGCTCCTTTCATCAAGGCAGGACAATCCACGGGCATATCCGGTAGAACTGGTTTGGCAGTGGGTGCCTCGTGGGAGGTGGGCAGGGACACAGCAGCCAACCTGTCTAGACTGGTCTGGGCCTCTTGGGCAGTGGGTGACCAGAGCCAACCTTGGCCAGGGCGTCCCCGGCTGATCCAGTTTTCCTGCTGGCTCTGGGACCCATGCCACCCAAACCAGGGATAGGACAGGCTCTGCTGAGATGTACCTCCTATATCCGTTTCTTACCTGGGAGTCTCTCAGTGTCCCACCTCAATTCCAGTCTCCTGAACAGTGTTCATTCTGCCTCTCATCCCTGCCCCATTCCCAGCTCACCTACCATGGCCCTGATACCCTGTTTTCTCTTTAGTTGTCTAGTTCTAAGCTCATCCTTACACCCCTTTGATCAGTATACCTTCTCACCTTCTCTCACCCAAACATATACTCCAGGTTCTCCTCTCCTCCATTTTCACCCGAACAACTCCCCAATTTGCTCCCTGCTGTGACTCCCTCTCTGCCATCTGTGTGTGGGGAAAGAGGGCAGAAGGGGGGTACCCTGGCCCTCTGTAGGAAATGCGTTATCCATGCAACCCCTCACTAAACAGAGATGGAAGCAGCTCGGGGTCTGGGATCCTTGAGAGTAATGGAAGCAGGGACTGTCAAGTAGCAGTCTGCCCCATGACTCCCACAGACCAGAGCCCCCATGTAAGTTCCCAAGCCCTCATTACACACAGCAGGCAGTTCTCGGCTGTGTGCTAGCCCCCAAGGGAAGAGGGTGGCCTCTTCAGGATATTTAGCTGGGCACTGCTTCCCTCTGGGCACCACACAGAGGGCAAGACAAACAGAGGAACTGACCCTGTTTATAATGATCAGGCAAGCAGGCCCCACCCTGAGCCCTGCCCCAGGCAGCTCCAAGCCTTGCTGGCTCCCCTACCAGGTCCTTAAGCTCTTGCTATGGATGGGGGTGGGGAAGAGAGGCAGGCGGGAAACACCAGGTCTAGAGTGGGAAAAGGAGTCGCTATTTAAGGGTCAGCAGTGGCACTAGGACCAGGAGTGTGGAACAGGAGGTGCTGGGGTTCTCAGGTGAGCCTAGGCCTCAAAACAGAGCCCACCTCTACTGCTATGTCCTGTGGGACCTCACTTTCTGTGTCTGTGAAATGTGGCTGATCCAACTTACTCTGGTGAGCTATCTAACCCTGGGCCAAATCAACTGCTCTGTGCCTCAGCTTGAGAGAGCACAGCAATCTGGCCCAGAGAGAGCTCTGGGCACTGGAAGTCCAGACAAAGAATGTGTGCACAGAATCACTCAATAAAAGTCACTCACTGGGCACCTGCTGGGTCCTAACTCTGTTTTAAGCATACTACCAGATCTGCTTCTTGAACCTGTCCTTCTACCTAACCCATTATAAGGACCAGGAGACCCCACATTACCTGTCCATCCCCTCTCTGCCCTCAGGGGCCCCCTCATTCACTGCCTCACCCAGGCCTCCGAGCTGTCCTTTACCCCAGGCATGTCCTCATGGCAGGACCTTTGCTCTGGCCACTGGCCTTACCTCATCTAACCTTGTTGTTAGTGTCGGGGAGACCCCTGTGCAGCACAGAGTTTAAAAGTATGGCCCTCTAGGGGACTGTCAGGCCTGTTTTTTGAGGTTCCTCAGGTCAGATTTGAACCACCAATGTTAAGCTGGTACTTGAATGCTTAACTTTCTGAGCCATCCAAGGATCCTACATCTCCATGGGTGTGCTAGCCCACTAGAATATCAGCTCCATGAGGGCTGGGACCATCAGGTGCTCAAGTGACTATATGGTGAATGAACAGATTCACTTGCCTCCAGTACACTAAATTCCATTGGCAGCTGGAACAGCAAGGCTGGGAGAGTATTAGAGTGAAGTCTCTGGTTCAATCCCGGGTTCCAGCAACCGTCTTACTATGTTTCGTGAGCCCTGATGGTTTAGTATTAAGTAGCTGAGCTGCCAAACCAAAGGTGTGCAGTTTGAATCCACCAGCTGCTCCTCGGGTGCTATTTACTGCCTCTGAAACCCACTAGAGCATCAGCTATGAGTCGGTTCCAACTTGATGGTACTCAACACCACCACCATGAAACTGCTTGCTCAGGCACTTTCCCTCTGCCAGGCAACATTAGGGACACTTCTCCTGAGAAGTACCTGGGCCCTGGGGTGATGCCTGAGAGATGCACTGGAGGAGGACAGCATGCAGCCTACAGCCACTGGTAGGCACAGATCACTGCTGCTGCCCAGCATCTGCTTCTAAAACCACAGCCCCATCTTAATTATTTCAGTGGGGGAAAAAAAAAATTCAAACACTCTTTAACATCTTTAACTTGTGGGGTGGAGAGTTTCCAAGCTGTATTAGAGAAAAGTCTCAAATTTTCCAGTCACCTTTATACTCACTGTCCCGCTTTCTAACCTGTCATCACCCCCTAGCCATCCATCTATTCCCCACCAGGAGACTTGCCTGGATGGAGATCTGCTCTGTACACGTGACTAACTGGCGGGGACATGAGTGTGAGGCAAAAATCTACCTGTCTCCACTTCCCCCAGCCCCTCAGCTCTGAAAAAGCTCCGGCCTTGCTGTGGAACAAATGGGCTTGGAGGAAGAGCAGGGAACACAGTCAAGGTTAGTAGGCATGTCGGAAAGAGAGGATGACGTGGTCACTGTCCCCAGCCTGCCCTCAAGCCTTGGTCCTGGCTCAGCTCTCTGGCACCATCTTTCTCAATAAGATCCCTTCTTGCCTCAGTTTACCTTCCTGAGTTATGCTCTGGTAACAGAGGAAAAGTATGGCTAACCTTCTAAGCCTATAGCAGGTCCTCGAAAAACTACATCATTCTCACTTCTGGGCCTTGGCTCAGCTCTGTAGCCCACCTGCATACCCTTCTCCCACATCCAAATGTTCCTGGCAGGCTTCTCTGGGCGGAGCTCCTCCAAGGAACCTCTGGGAACCCTTCCCAAGACATTATTACAGCTTTGAGACCAACACATCTCCTAGTCCCTTCTCTGGCAA